TCTGTCTCTTTATTCTCCTCCAGAACCAGATTCTGGTTTGAACATGTTTGGCTGAATTATTTAAATATTTCACTTTGCCATTGTGTCGACCAGAGTGGTGTTAAAGGGTTTAAGGTGGAGCTGTAGGTGAGCTGGTGTGTTGAGCTGCAGGGAGTGGGGAGGACTGGATAGAGAGAGAAGCAGAGACTTCATAGATCTGCACAATCTAGAGAAAGCAACAGCATAGAGCTACATCTAAGACGTTTTAAGGCAGGTGGGGATTATTTTCATGGTTAAAAACATTTAAATATTCAACTCTTAGACTTTAACGTCTACTCCCCTGCTCAAGCAAGCAGCCTACGTTCTCCGAGGTATACTGAGTGTTTCTTCCACCTCACTGAACCTGCACATCAGAATCCAGCCTTCTCTTTTCACATGCTTCTCATTCTTGGGCTAATGTTCTGGAGGAATGAGGAGCAGCTTGTTGACAGTCCAACAAAACAACACCTTTGTGTCTGTGTTGTCCAGTGACTCCAAACCCTGACGGTGATATACGTCGGTCTGACTTTAAACTCCATCACGCTCTGCTGGGATATTTCTCTCCTCCCTCTCTCTCTGCTGACCCACCAAATGGATTAGCAGCTCCCCGGGGCCCCATGATGTCACGGAAAAATGAAATACTTACTGCTGCAGGATCGCCGAGACCAGCTCCACTCTGCACAGGTCTCTGACAAGCGTCCTTTGCCCTGCTAATAACTTAATAATGATGATGTCGTCATGTCAGGGAGCTAATTGCAGCAGGGTTTATGGTGTGTGTCCGCGCTGAATGTCCAGGAGTAAGTGATGCTAGAAGAGGTGAACGTATGAGTTCATCATCTAATCACAGCCGTAAAACACTGTTTGGAATCCGGTGAGATTCACGTTCCTCTCTCCACCGGAACATAAAAATAAAAAATAACCAGAGGACACCACATCTGTATTTTTTGCAAAGAACAATAACAATATTTTATTAACTCGAAATAATATCAGATGCAGCAAACAAAGATTTTTTTTTTCAAATCCATGGTCATATTCAAATAATTACATTCAGCCAAAAGAGGAAGAAAAGTATTATAAAGGAAAGAAGAAAAAGTAAAAGAGGGAAAAGAAAGAGACGGGATAGAGCTTCAGAGGGAGGAGATGGTCGAGTGTGTGTCTGACTGATGCTGATGGTGATATGCATCTCAATCAGGGCGAGGAAGGGACAGTACATTCATTTTGGGTCATCTGTTTCCTCGTACCCTGTTCCACTCTGCTGGGTGAGTAGTATGGCTTTGCTCTCTGAACTCTCACAAGCCGTCTGTAAGTCTCTGTTCCTTCCTCTGTGTGTGTCGCCGTGTGCACCCAAACCCCCCGAGGATCGTGGGACGTTTTAATTAAGACAGTGGAGGCTAATGTGGGTTAAACAAAGACCATCTCCGTCTGTGAAGACGCCACACTCGGCTCCTGCAGCAGCTTCCACGCTCTCGGCCTCGCTCCTGGTTTGTGCTCGTGTTGGCTGCTGAGGGCCGGCGGCGTGGGGAGAGTGCTCCCTCGGCCCGTTAGCTTTCTTTGTTCTCAAATGGTAAGCGGGTTATAGGGTGACAGGGGCGCCACCGCCGACTGAATATTCATACGCCCTCCTGCCTTGACACCGTCCCACAGATGTTTTGATGTCTTTTTATAGCACTGGGTTCTCCCGCCACTATCACACACACAGAGAATCTGGAGCACTTCTCTCTGATAATATCCAATGTCAGCGCCTGCCTGAAGCAACAAAGCTAAAACACACCGCCTAGAGACACACACACCCGCACAATAAGGAACACTCCAAAGACATCTGTCTGACTCAAGGACAGTCGGATGTTCTTCTGTTATTGGGCTTCAAAATATGAATCGCTTCCAAACAGAGAGGCGAGCACCGAAACAAACAAAAAACGTGAGGAGTTTTCTGGGACAGCTCACCTCAGATGATGGAAAAATGCTTGTGAAGGTGAGGAGGGGGTGGAGGGAGATGGAGGGAGGGAGGGAGGGTGCAGATGGAGTGAAGGGGAAAAGGGTAAAAAAAGAGACAGACAGGAGAGAGATACACATCTCCTGATCATCAGGCGGTTCTATAATCGCAGGCTAATTGCCTGTTGGCAAAGGTAGCACTCAGATGTCCTCTTAGTTACGTAATGACCCCCTGCAGGGAGTGATGGAGGGAGGGACAGGAGAAGGGGGGAGGCGGGATGAGGGGAAAGGACGGAGACAAAGAGAGGTGGGAGGGTGAGGCAGGAAATGACAGAGCAGTGATAGCAGGATGGAGAGGGGACACATTCATCAGGCTGTCTGTGTGCGTGTCAGCGGCAAATCTTCTGTTCCTATCCTCATGAGGACGAGATGCCCTCATGAGGATAGGAAGACGAGGAAATCCACAACAGTGCCACTTCTACAAAGGATCAGATTTAGGATGGAGTCAGGGTGAAGGTGGATGAATGAAAGGTAGCCGTGGGCCTCAGAAGAATAATGACCAAAAAAAAAAAAAACTATTGGATGTATGAGAGCAAGACAGCTGGCTGAATGAAAACCGCATCACACCAAGGTGCCCGCCTTCTCTTTCCCTCACACACACACTCTCTCACACACACACACACACACACACTCACACACACACACACACACACTCTGCCCGGGGAGAGGATGGGGACGCTCAGATAGACAGACGGAGCAAACGCATGCACAGCGGCGGACAAAGTGAGCTGATAAATAGAGGGAAAAGGGGGGAGTCGGCGAACAATGGCACACTCGCGTCACCGCGCCCGGACAAAAGCACAACCTCACCTCGGCAGCACCGCGCGGCTTTTAATGTCAACCAAAAGGACAATGACGCACATCGGCCGGCTGCAACCTCCGGCTACAGCACGAGATGCAACAGGGCATTTAGCGCCTTCGTCTGACTCAAACCGATGGTCGTAGCACTTTATTCTGCTCTGCTTGTTTAGAAGTGGGGAGGAGGAGGAAGAAAAGCCAGGGCCTGAGGGACATCATGAAGGATTAGATGATGATGATGATGATGATGATGGGTGGGAGGTCAAAGGTGACGAATGAAAGGCACAGCTTCAATGGTTCCACCTGAGTTGTCGCTGTCTTTTGCAACTCTCCTTACAGGGACTCTTCGTTTTCATGTAGTTTTGAGTTCAAAATTCATCGCATGCTATTGTTTTTAAATCTCCAGCACCAATAAAAGTTCACCTCCAACAAGAGCTCAGCTACACCAGACACTGTTTTAAAGGGACTCGCTGCATTGGAGGGGTTTCGGAATGGATATACAGCGCGAGCTCGAACCGCTCGCTGACATCTTACAACACAGTCACGCCGCACAAATCCGCACACAGACTCACACGTTGAGGCTTTTCTAAACAGTCGAACAACATAAAAGAGGGGAAGTGGGGACTGAATCTGTGCTTCAATTATTTGTAGAAAATAACTACGCACACCAGGCTTTCTCTCGCACAAAAAGCCACACACAAGCACACGGAGGTGGCGGATGAGAGGCGAGTGGTGTTGTGCGTGCGGGCGGGATGCACTGATGCTCTGGTCCAATGGGATTTCCTGAGTTGTATGAATGACAGTCCCTCTGGGAGAACCTCAATGGGGTTCGTCACGTGGAGATGGGAGATTCTGCATGTGTCACACAAACATGCCCTTTTGCAAGCATCATAGAAAAGAAGGGAGAGTACAGAATAAAAAGGCAAAGCTTTTCAAGAGTCAGTATGAGAGGAGAGAATGAAGAGCATTTCTGAAAGGAAACAGGAAAAACAAGAGCTCTTCACGAGGATCATGACGAATGGCAATAACAAACCGTATCACAGTATCCTCTTTTGAAATAAAAAATAAAATAAAAACTTTTTCACATTTGTATTGTTGTTGTTGTTGTTTTTTTTCCCAGTAGACTATATCACACAGTGATAACGAAGAAAAGGAGAAATCTACAGCCACGTTAGCTTCGTGCAAAAAACCACATACACTGGCACGCCGCATAGGCAAAGAGATCAAAGCAAGACAACGCATACAAAAATATAGAAAATCTCCGATGCAACTTATCTCGTCACAGAAAAAACTTTTCTGTCTCTACAGCCTTCCTGCCGAACACCGATCGCCAAAGGGTCACTTCAGGAACATTCTGTTTGTTTGTCGTCGTCGCTGCTGCTGCTGCTGCTGTGGATTTTATTTTCATTTTTTTTAAGACAACCAAAGTTCTTGTGTTTTCCTCGCAGGAATCCACAGAACCCCCCAAAAATATCCAGTAGCTTTAGTTGATCATTATGGCAGATGTCCATCATAATGATGTTTGGAATAATATGAACCACGACATGTTGGAGTGATAGAAAACTAGTACAATAAAAGCATATCATTTCTGTCATATCATTTGTGACAAATCTTTTTTTTTAAACTTTGTTATTTTAAAATACATACTATGTCCTGTCACTTTGAAAACATTCCAGCATTTGCTCATAATTGGTAGTGACAGGGTTAAATAGTTTGGCATACTCAGCAAGCCATGCCCAAAAGGATGCTATTTAGTCTCTTGCAAAGGAGGAAAAGGGGCGAGGGCGGTAAGGGCAGGTCCCAGGATGCAGTGTCAACCTGCCCCCCCATGGGAGACGCTGGGGAGATGGGCAGGGGTTATACTGAACAGCTGAGATTACAAATCGTGCTCAAGACCGGGTCAGCCCATTGATTTCAGCACTTGCAAAACACATGCAAAGATAAGTCAGAGTTCTGGCCTCTCAGTCATTCTGTCTGCCTGGTGGTGGCGTCTGTTAGCTTCGCAGGTAGCGACAGAGCCGAAAACCGTGAGCGTCATACCCACGAGTCAAGTCGCCGGACCGCCGCAGCGAGTCCACTGTTTTCACACTGATAAAAAAGATTGTTTGGACGCCTTCAAAGGAAACAGAGTGGATCGGTGGAACGGGGACGGAGCAGGTACGAGGTGGAGAGGGGGAGTTGAAATGCTGCAAGTAAGGCAAAGACGGATGGTTTCTATATCAGTCAGAGGAGAAGGAAAAACAAAACAACATGCTCAGAGGGTCAAACTTTTCAGACGCCATGAAGGAGAGGGGGAGCTGATGCAAAAACAGAAAGTCCTCCGTCGACCGTGGAGGGATTCAACGTTGAGAGGAGGAGTCACTGGTTGCTCGGCTCTAATGCCCTCTCCTCCTCCTCGTCCTCCTCTTCGTCCTCCTCATCCAGGGAAACCACCCCAGAGGAGGCCACATCGGACACCCTCCTGCGGGGGTCGTAGTCGGGCGGGTCGTTGCCCTCCGCCTCCACCTGGCACACGGTGCTCTCGTAGTCCTTGCAGGGGGTGTCGTCGTCCTCGCCGGGCGACAGGTACGTCTCGGAGTAAGACATGGAGTAGCAAGGCGAGTCCTGACCCCCGCAGGGCCTGATGCCCCGCCCGCCCCCGCGCAGGCTGTGGAAGCCGCAGTCCCCCCCGCCGGGCCCGTTCTGGCCCACCCTCTGGAGTCGGGCCAGCAGCAGCTCCTCCCCTCCGTGCAGCGCCGACAGGATCTTGGCGGCGAGCTCGGCGGCGTTGCTGTGGGAGTGGGTGCCGCGGTGGCCGCCCAGGTCGCGCAGCAGCGGGTGCTGCTCGTCCAGGCTGCAGAGGCTGGAGCACAGGGTGTCTGGGGAGCCTGCCGTAGGGGAGGGCTCTCCGCTGCCACCTCCCTCTCCACCTCCTCCACCACCTCCTCCTCCTCCTCCACTCTCGCAACACGGGCCTCGCAAGCCCAGGTGTTGGCAAAGCTGGCTGTGGATCAGGTCCTTCAAGTAGGGAGGATACGACGGCACATCTAGAGGGAATGATACAGACTGTGAGCATGAAGTCCTGAAGGAAGAAGAACAATAATAGGAGAAGAAACATGAGACGAAACTATAATATTTTCTGTGGGTATGTTCTGAGCGGTAGCATCAACACTCACGATTTAATTTAATTTAAAGGTACCCTGTGGAGACCTGGACCTGGTGCCGCAGAGCAATGTTTTGTTGAGCAGATTTTGTGCAAACACAGATGTAAACATATATATAGCATGTCTAATATCCAATACAGGTTACATTTTCTTAAACTTTCTTACTCTTTAACTCCACAGAGTACCTTCTGGGAAGCTAAACTCACTTATGTTAATCACGTAAAATGGATTTTAGTCTCTACTGTTGAATGAAAGACTAAAAAAAACTAGAACTACAAACTAGAAACTAATCAATGTACAACTGTGAAGGAAAAATAAGTGTGTTAAAACATTCAAGTATGAGCTCTCCCAAAAGTAGAGCAACGTATATACAGTAGTGACATGTTGACTAGAAATATGTTGATGAAAAGTGTGAAACAGACGTCCTCCACCACGTTACAGAGGTGTGAAAACTATCAGCAGAGGGAAAGGATGAGAAATTAAAAAAACATTTAAAATAAGAAACATGTCCAGTATGGAAACCCACAGCGGGATGTTTTTGTGAAATGCAGTAATGTGAGAAAGGACAAATATTAATATATATGCTGCAAATAAAATGTTGTGATCATAGGAATACAGGATGTGACAGAGAACCAGATTATCGGCTTTTGTTTTGGGGAGGAAACATGGAAACACATCATGTGTCCATAAGCAGAAAGCTACTGAAGCACTAAAGGTCAAAATCTGTGGCAGTGACGTGAGGATCACTGACTCAGATTACATGTAGAGCTGACAAGCATCACGTCCAGGGAGCACGTGGGAAACTCCTATCCTTAAATGGCCTTTGCCAGAAGGAAAGAAGCCACTGATGACTATGTGAAGAAAGAGAAGCAGCGATGAGCTGAATGTTATTAGCTTCCATACAGGTTATTGGTGGTGCCGTGTAATCAAGATGAAAGCTTCGGTACACACACACAGCCATGGTCAAATACACTCTGTGTATTTATAACCCGCTCACACACCATCCTCACACAGACTCTGTCTCTGCAGCAAAGGAAATGATATTAAACTTGCAGGAGGGATATCAAATTGCGCCGAGGAACAAAAAAAAAAAAAAAAATGTCGGGAGGGGATGAAAACTGGGGCACTGGGACAATGAAAGATACAGAGCGAGGCAGAGAGATGGATGAGGAAGAGGGTGCGTAATGGGGTATTAGGACGGAAGGGGACAGTATGAAGGGAATAAATGTGATTTAGCTTCTGTGTGTGAGTTTACCTGTGCTCTGTGTGGTGGGCTCGTTGGCAGGCAGAAAGTCTTCATCGTATGAGTCATCGTTGGACTCGTCGCCGTCCACAGAGGACCAGGCCCTCAGCTTAGCCTCGGCGATGGCAAACTGCTCCGCCACACCTGCAGGCACACACATGCACACATGAGCCGCACACGTACACAAGCGGTTGCTTGGTTGGCATGGTAACAAGACGGCACCGCGAGGCGCTGGTGCCGCTACGTCATGTCGCCGCTCCTGACTGGCAGGTCCGTGTGAGGAACAAGGTGCACAGAATCAGACTGGACGCAGACAGCTCTCCCATTACAGCCACTGCTCTTCAGCGGTCATTTGGCCGGTGCACTCAGGACGGATGTCACCGAGGGTTTGGTCGTGTTGTTATGCAGGCTGCGTTCCTGCCAGTGCAGGTGAGACGGGGAGTTGGAAGACGCAGGCTACATCAGGTTAGGAAAAGTCTGCATCAGTAAGGTGATCGGCTCTAACGTTTTTAGTGAAATGCTGATGCAAATAGTTTGTTAAAAAGGACGGGAACAGGAAATTCTGGGCAGCAATCTCTAAATCTGAATATATCTACCAAACGGTGTATGAATACAAGATGAATGAAGACATGCTGTCTCCTCTGTGGACCAAACATGTAGAGAAACAAGTAAAGTAGGAACAAAACCTTCTCTGGTGCATCAGTTTGTCGTCTTTCCCATTGAGGTGCATAAATGCTTCAACCACAATGTACAATATTTGCATTTGTATAATGTGTGTAGGGTCTTTGTTCAGTCCTGCCCAGAAACATCCACGAGGGGAACAATATGCTCAACACACTCCTGAGCAGATCAAATCAAAGCAGTTTTATTCATACAGCGCCAAACTATGCAGCAGGACAGAAGTGTTGACGTGATGTGAGAAGACTTCAACACAACAACACGGCGCTCTGGAGATCTACGACGACGCTACGGAGCGATGCGTCTTTTCACTCGCTGTCTTCGACTGAATCCAAACAGCAGCTCCAAAGAGCTCATTACCAGAGAGCAGCCAAACTTTTCATTTTGTCGTTACAGAATTAACATTAATTAATTACCGCTCGTGTAATCTGCAGCTGCTGATGTCTCTCTGTCATTTTAAGTCGCGCCAGCCTCAGTTGACTAATAGTGAAGAGCCTGCTGCGGTACCCGGAGGTTTTCTGTGGCTCTCTGCTCCTAAAAGGTGTGACGACAGATTCATTAGCGTCGGGGCAATGGGTGCTTTGCCAACCCCGGGGTGGATATATAACACATCTTCTACAGTGCGGTGACAAAACAGAGCACACTTTGCAGATACAAAACTAAACAGAGAGGATTTAGGGGACGCTATTTCAAAACCTGCTGGTATATCTGCTGGTCTGTGTGTGCATGTAGAACGCTGCCACTGCATCTTGTAGCTTATTGCAGAATAAATCTGCGGCTGTATTCCTGGAGTTGTTGTTTTCGCACTAATGACAACCTTCCAAACTAACCGCCATGTTTTCCGAGCAACAAACACCCATCATGTGTAAAACGCACAAATATAAGGCCACAGTGGGGACATCAGTGTGTGTGTGTGTGTGTGTGTGTGTGTGTGTGTGTGTGTGAGGTGACTCAGCAAGTGCCAGAAACCGAAAGCTACAAGGTCCAAATGACCAATCGCCTCCAATCATCATCAGCAGCCGGCCAATCACAGCTCAAGACTCTCCCCCTCTCTCTCTTCTCCTCTTTATCTCTCTGCTCGCCCTCAGTCCATCTGCTTTGTATTCGTCCCAGTCCTCCTCCATGTCACGCCTTCCTTTCACTCGTCTCTCTCAATAAAACGCTCTATCGACTCACCTGACTCTCCACATTCTTACCGTTCCCTTTTCTTTCACACTGCGATCTTTCAGCCTCGTCTCTCGCTTCTCATTTTGATTTCCTCCGTTCTCTGTACGTCTCTGTCTCTCTCTGATTCTCTCTCTGGTCAATGCTCGGCATTCGTGCGTTGTCTCCAGCAGAGTGAGATCGATGCTCTCATTCATCTTCTGCTGTAGCTGGACCCTGAACTCTCCTCACAAACAGCCACGATGGCTCCAGCAAACACAATCATGCGGGCTGCTCTTTAGTTCCACTTTGAAAACCTTTTGTATCTGCTTTAACGGAGGAAAAAAAAGAGTTTTCACCTGTTTTTTTAAACGCCCCTGACCCACATACCGCACAAAGGGCTGAAACAGGAATAAATAGATGGTGTGCGCCTACAGATGTACACGCAATTACACACATGCTTGGTTCTTCTGTCTGTACGACCTTAAAATTATCCCCAGCAACATGTTGGAGGTGACCCACTTTAATGCACTATTTTTAATACAGTTTTACGGTAAAACACAAACAGCCTTCTGCACTGTTCTGTACCGACGCAGACGGCATCTACGACATGGAATCCCCATGTTTATACCTGCATTGTTGGGTCATTATGAAAATAAAGCGGTTGCTTGGTTACAACCATCAAGTGCAGAAACGTGCTGATGATGAAGGTCTGAACAAACCACAGCTACGACTTCAGCTTCAGCGCTTTATGCAAAGCTGTCTATGAAACACAGCGACCGTTTGGAAGCAGCAGGCTGTCTGTTCTGCGTGAATGAGCCCTGAAACTTTAAATACTCCTCTTTATAGTCTCATATTTTCTAGGTAGTTGGGTAGAAGGCAATTGTAACTCATGCAGATAAAGTCAAAACAGCATCCGTAATGAAACTGCTCCTGGAAACAAGCTATAAAGACAACAACGGCATTTCGCTTGAGAAACTTGTTCGTAAGCAGCTGCTTTTGTTTACACCGAGCAGACAGAGCAAAACCAGAACTCATGTGGAGTCGTGACTCTTGCTGCCTCATGAACAACTGATTATTGCAGAATAATCTATTTCCTCAATTCATCAATTAGTCGTTTGGTCTATAAAGTGGTAAAGAAAACCTAAGTCAGTTTCCCAAACTCCAAGGTGACATCCTCAAATGTTTTATGTCCACAGCCCAAAGATATTCATTTTATATTCAAGCAAAGAAACCAGAAAGTATTTACATTTAAGGTGCTGCGATCAAAGACAATGTTGTCGCTCTCCCAGGTGAAAGTCCTCTGTCGACCCCTTTGTGCTGTCTCACCTGATCTGGATGAAAAGACCTGCGCTTGGTTAAATTGTCCCATTACAACCTCTAAATGGAGCCAGACGGAGATGCAGAAGTGTAGTTTCCTCTCAGACAACCTAAACCACAACGTGCTATGAGGTTATTCTAAAATGTTTGTCCAGTGATGCCAAAAACATCCTGCCTACTCCAGCTTTAACCGCTGCTGCAGCTCTGCTCAGGAATCTGCATTAAAAAGTCCTTTTCTTCTAAGCTCTTTCTAATAAATGTGATTACTATTATGATGTTAAACAGAAGGAGTTTGATGCAGTTTCTATGTCAACATCCTGCTGCACGGTTGGTTTGTGCAACCCCCAACACCAGTTTCACAACGTAGATATTCTAACAGGCGTGTTTTCTGCAGGAACAATGCAAACCTGGTGAGGCCACATGCACTTCCACTACACTACAGCGCACCAGAAACTGGATTACAGCCACTCTAACACACTAACACACACACTTTACACACATGTACTTCACACATATTGTCTCACGTCTCTTTCATTCATTCTCTCACACAGAAACACGGTGGCATAGGTCTCTCTCTGCTGATCAAGGCTGGCAGCCAGTTTCATGCAGCACGGAGAGACACTGCAGGATTAACTTCAAAGAATGCATGTCTATGTGTGTGTGTGTGTGTGTGTGTGTGTGTGTGTGTGTGTGTGTTGGCAGAAGTCAGTCTATCAACAGGACAACCCACCTGCAGTGCACTTTCAATTCTCAGGATGCCTCCTACACCAGCAAACACACACCGTTATGTTTTAGCGTAACTGGCTTAAGCGCGCACCAACAAACACTCACTTCACACATTTGCACGTGTTCGCTATACGTGCTAGCGCGCTCGCTGACATTCACGCAGTATGTCCAGTCACGCACAGGAACATCAGCGCCGGACTACAAGGAGAAACTTGACCAAAAAAAACTGAGTCAGCACCGCTGGCAGCTCCCCGGTGGGATGGACGCTCGCTGATGATGTGAGCTGAGGAGACAGAGACGAGCACACCGTGTAGTAATAGCTCATCTGGGTTTCTGTCGGAGGTTTACACATATTTTAGTGCCAATTCTGAATACGTTTCTGTGTGACATGCAGTGGGTGGCTGGGATCAACCTGCACTGCATGGCGCGAACAGAAACTATTTTACGAACGCACGACATGCTTGATTGCGATCGTTTTTGGCGCCTGTGATAAATCAGCTTCCTTGAATGATCATTACAGTTGCACCATAAAGCCGTGAAATCGCAAAGACAGCGGCATGAGCAGAGAAGACGAGTCCTGTAAATAGTTATACATTAAAGAGGAAAGAAAAAAGAAAGCAGAACAGAGGAGGCACAGAGGAAAATCGCTCAGTCACGGTGGCACTAGCCAGGAGCAAAACCTTACTGTGCAAATTAACCTTGAGAGTCTGCATTGCAGGGAGCGAGCGAGAGAACGGAGGCAGAGCAGGCAGGAGGGACAGGGTGGAAAAAGACAGCAAAAAGAGGAAAGACAGAGACAGAGGGCAGAGAGGGACGTTTAGAGAGGGGGTTAATGAGAAGACTAGGCAGAGGTGAAGGAAAAACGATGAAGATGGAGGAAACAGATGAGCTGTAGGTGTCTGAGAGGAGCGAACCGTCCGAGTGTGGAGGAGCAGAGTTTAGTGCGACAAATACTAACAACCAGTCCACACACACGTATATATATATAGTTGTCTCAGTTTTGCCTGCATTGTGATTAAATCTCAGTATTCAGATTAGGGAGCAGATCTGGCTGACTGTGAACAAGCAAGTCATCCAGGTCCAGTGACGACATGCTGCCATATGGCTCCTGCTTGGTGGTCCATGCCAAGGAAAGGCTCATCTGAAGTTTTTAGTCAGGACGTGGGCGAAATTTTAAACTATTAGGTCAACATCAGTCTATGTGCCGATATAGAGATGATAAAATATGTTGCATTAAGTCTCACTGTTAATGTGATCTCATTATCTCAGCTCAAGACTAATTCCTAAATTACAAACAGCTCGAGATGAAAGATGTAAAAGGCTGTCAAACCTCACTATTCAAAGTGTAGGATCCAGCGTTTCAATCCATCTTTTGTCTCTTGAAATCGTCTCCCAACAATATTAAAGGGTAAAACTAAATCCCCTCACTGGCCCTCTGATATCGTGGTGGTCGAGATCCGAACCTGGCTGAGATCCCGTCACAAACCGGCCAGTCAGACTGCAGTGTCTTCTGTATGTGTCTACACTCAATACAAACCGTATCCTGATCCAGATAAGACATCTAGACACGCATCAGATGGTAACAACAGATGTAAATCAGGTGAGGGATTAGCTGCTTTCTCCATACATGCCTAAAGAACATTCTGAAATCTGTATAAAGCTGTTTCCAAAGCTGGTTTAATAGAAGCCACCATCAATAGGGTTGACATATGAGGCTTATTGGACAGTAATGATCATATAAATCTGACATTGCATAAACTCTGTCCTTAGTTATGATGGTTTCTCATGTAATTGTGACCTCCTCTGTGATATCTCATCATTGCTTTGCACATACACTTTCCATGTGCCTGAGTCATTGTGTCACTGTATTTGTTGTCAGTCTCTAAAACTCTTTTAGGTTTCAGTGCAACAGAAAAAGGTGGTTTTCCTGTAACATTTCCATAATAAGTAAGAGATCTTACCAGCGGCAAAGCGTGCCTCCTGCTCTCCCTCAGTGAGGTCGGAGTAAGAGTTGAAGTCCGACTCCAGCGCTGCAGGAGTGTCTATAGGCTTGCACCAGCCTTTCCACTCTATTAAATGGGCGACTCTGCCCTGCGCCATGGCTGTAGGCTTCGTCACATGGTCCTTCACTACCTGGGAAATACCTACATGGCAAATATCAGAGGTTATAAAACAGCAATGGAGGCTCGTTGTCAGCGGGTGCATCTATATCGTGTTCCATGCAGCTCAGCGCTGAACTCACCATGAAGGGAGGATCGTGCTAACGCAGCAATCTCTTGAATGGTGAGAGCTCGTCTTGATTTTGGTAACATTTCAGTGGTGTCGTCAACATTCACCTGAAACGACAAGAGAAGGAAAAATAATAATAAACGAGTGTGACTGAAAACTGGTACAGCGGCTCAGCATGAATGTGAGCCGGTTCTGAATACAGCCCGCTATGACTCAGAGGAAAACCCAGTGCTGCCTTTTGATGGAAAAGAGACACCAATGTTCAAAGTACTTCAGCTACTTCAGCGTACTCTAAGGCCTTGAAACCAGAAGAATTTTCTCTTTACACACCAATCAGGGTTTTAATGAGTCACAAGTGGTATGACGGCAGCGCACACATGCATGTATGTGAGTAAAGTAATGAGTATTTCAGCAGCTACTCGCGAGCAGGACTGTATTTATGTTTAATTATGTGATTTAGTGTTTAATAGCACGTCAAAGGTCCAGTTTAAACACCACTGATTTGCATAATAGTTCACGTTGAGGAGCAGAGGATTTAAAAACAAGACGTGAGATATGACGGTGAACAGGTTTTGCTGCAGATCTGGTGGTTTGTCAAGTCAGTTGATTTGCAAACTAATCATCCTGAGATGAAACTTCTCACACCACAGCTCAGTGTTTAGCCGAATATGCAGCGATAGGAAGAGAAGGACGGAAAAGGAGTAGAACTCTGGTATTAGCTTGGATTGATTTATATTTGCACATTATCCACACAGCTGTTGGCCAAGTGGGCCTCTCGAGTGGTACCAGATGTGACTGATGGAAGATTTTATAATTCAGTCAGTTGTATAATTTTAAAAAACGTCTTGTGAGGGAACTGGTGAAGCTCTGTGTACGGACGGTTCTGTAAGTTCATCGCTGAGAGTTAAGAGAACAGAAGACAAAGGACGGACCCCCTCCTCCCCCGTCTGTCCTCCGTCAAATCTGTCTGCTCGGTAAAGTCAAACCACAGAGGGAGTATCAGGTGTTGACAAGTTCCTTTGTCTGCTCGCTCTTTTTATAGCCCTACCTCCACTCACGTGGGAACCCGGCACGTCGACAGCAGAGGCCACATGCTGAGCCGACGCCGCTGTGTTGTTACTCAATATGGGTCAGCACACTTGGCTGACTGAGCAATTTGATGGCGGTTATGAGCAGACAAGTATATCTCAACAGGTACACGCTGTGTCCAGGCCCAGTGCGACTGATGGCGCTCCAGTTTCAGGTGCTTTCATTTTAGAGCACTGAACCACTTCACCTGCTCTAGTAACCGAGCCGTTAGCACACACGACGAGCATTTAGCCACTCTGAAGGTAAACCGTCCTCACACAGGCACCACTTCTGATTCACAGGAACAGCACCTGTGATGAACGAATCGCCTTCACCTGTCAATTCCACCTGATATCTACTAAACACCAGCCTACATAACAAACAACTAAATTATTCGTCTAAAGGGTGCTGCACAAGTAAAAGGGGGGATCCCGAGCTCGAGATCACATCAGCTGCTGCCGCGAGGCCCGATAATCCTGTTGTGCCGCAGAGCAGCTCACAGATCAGAGGGAGGATAATCTGGAGAAGATGCGACACACACCCTCGAGGAACGTTCAAATTATATATTGTGTTGGTCTTTAATTAAAAATCATATGTCAGCCCGTTAATGCTGTCCACCCACAGTCGAATATCTTCTATTTGTTTTCAAATAGTTGTCCTGAGAAATCATTTCGGCGCGGTGTAGGAGGATTTTATACGTCTACAGGGAGATCCAACTCGAAAAAACTCCCGCCTCATCCTGCCTAATGCCTCCAAACTTGATTTCAGAGCTATTTTTTCCAGCGAAGTATCCCACGATGAAGCATTTCTACCCTGAAGACAACTTGTGATTTCTGAAGTTCGGAGGCAGGAAACTGTTTAATTTAAGTATTCCATTCAAATACATGAGGTTTCCAGACACGAGCAGAACCCTCTGCTGGAGTGTCATTGTGCTGACTGCTCCTCCATTGATTCCCCCACTGCCCTACTGAACAGCACAGCGAACGCACAGGAAAGCACGAGCTGCACTCACACAAGACACACCACTTCAATCACACTGCCTGGACGCATCTTTTTCCCACTACATACGCACGTTTGAATCCACCTCAAATCCTCTCCGACCCTGACTCAAGACAAAACGGAATTCTAGCATTTTAACCCTTAAAGTTCAACATCCAACGGTCGCACACTTGAGGTCATCAGAGCAGCAGCACAAACACACGTTACATCAGGAAGCCGTGAATCTTCACGGTCCAGAGAGCAGCAGAGAGGCGGTTCTGATGAGGTTCACCTTCGACTCTCAAATCACTGATTAGCTGAAGCCTCTGAGTCAGAGCGACGGACCAACGCGACCTGGAGACGGTACGGAGACAAACACAACAGATTCGCTCATCGTTTAGGAGCTGAGAGCAGCAGACAGGGATCAGGTGTGTGATGTAAAGCTAACCTGACCGCCGTCTACGTATCCGCATTAGCTCAAAGCCTCCACACACGAAAGCAACCAGGTTCTACTTCTCTGTTTACATCGGCTCCGTGATTCTATTTGTCAGGATTTAATTGTAAAGTGTGATTTCAGAACCCAGTGGGACTCATTAGTTGTACCTTTTTCAATGGTTTGAAGTGACTGAAAACAAAAAAACCTTGTTGTTATTGTGAAGCCGTAACATAATGCCACGGGATTTAATAATTACATTTTTATTGCTCTATTTTGGGGCTAATTAAGGTTACATCACAGCAGAAATCTAATTTGTGCCACCGCACTGGCCGATTGAATCAAATGCCCTTTTCTTATTTCCCAAACAGCGACTGCGTAACACAACAGCAGCCCGTCCCTCTGCTGCACTCACAGGGATGCAGAAAAGTCATTATGCACATTTAAAGTCAGGCCCTGAATGGTTTCAGAGGAACAGACTGCCGTGATATCTGCTTCCCCTTGTGGAAAATAACCCGAACATCCTTCTCCTCTTGCCACATTTCTACCTCCTCTCTCCCTCTTTTTTTTATTCATCCTTTCTCTGTCTCTGAACTTTTCCACAATGGGAACATTTCTATGGCAACCGGTCGCCGTGGAACAATTCCTCCTGGTACGTCTGCGTGTCTGATGCTCCGGTGATGTCACACTCTCAGAACACCAAACGACAACCTCCGGAGCCGAGCCAGGACTGTTACACGTGCCTCCTTTCCTTTCCTTTACAGTCGACGCTGCTGCCCGGCTAAAACGGGCGTCGGAGGCGTTTGCATCATCAGAGCCGCCTTAGAAGAATTAAATAGAAATGTGTGATGCTGAAGCAGAAATCATCAATCGCGGCTTTAACAAAAATAAATCTCAAATACCAAATATAGCTGCTGTGTGTCTTTGTAGGGCTCCCTGACGTGTAGCGCATTACAGAGGGCTTCCTCTGTGATGGAGAACAGTGGTGAGCTCAGCAGTCCGGCCAACCCGCCTCTCACGGCGCCCAGCGTTCAATAACAGACCCGCCCATGAAGAGAGAGAGGCCGCATTTCATAATGGATCACTTAGACGCTGCTAATCATCGCCTGGCTGGCTCACTGCGACACATCAGATTCGCACCCAGATGGTGTGCACGGATAAAAGCGGCAAGGTGGATTCATCATCCCCATCATCTCTGAGCCAATTATAAGCATCCTGCTTCAACTCCCACAGTCGTGGCATTAAATAGTTTGCAGCTCAGTTTTAAAAAGGTTCGAGGCTCAGGACAAAATGCACCTAAAGAAAGAGAGCCTCGTGTTTTTCTACACTCATAAAAGTGGGGGCTTTGTAGGTGATGACATTTCTTAAGAGCCACTGCCCTTCATCAAAACGTCCTCCTACTAAACCATTCGTCTGCCGCAGCAACATGTTCCTGAGATTCGATTTGTTTGGGGAGCCGGCCATCCTGTGAGGCTCCGCAATTAAGGGGTTACAAAGTCTGAAATACAAATGTGTTGCGCTGCAGGCTTGTAGAATTCAAATAAACACTCACAAAGATAAACGTGGCGGCCGAGCTGACCCAATAATGCAGACGTGGACCAACAGAACAACCGCTGTGCAGAGCTCCTGTCTTACATTTTGTCCAAAGGCGAACAGCATCACACATCACTGAGATTCCATTTAAAATCCCAAATTAAAAATTAATTGCTAATCACGCTGAATGACTTGTAAATAACTAGAAACTAACTGGTTGATGTTAATGAAAACTAAAACGGAGAAAGAACCCAGGGTTGGGACACACATTACAGACTTGGATGACTTGATTAATAAGCTAATTATTAAACTAGGAAGGGTTGAGAAAATAATTTTCTGCTTCATGTGGCGAATTACAGAGAGACTGTCGTCTTTGATTAGACATATCTGCTAGGTGCCCCGGCAGGTTAAAATACACTTGGTTACCTGGAGCCGGGCTCAAATCACACGGAGTCACACACACAGAACACGGCTTGTTCATCACAGGTATCCTGCTGGACGTGTGTCTTCTAATAAAGTCAGTGTAAGAACACTGGAACATTTAGGAACAATCAAAAAGGCCTTTCTAATCACTTAACACGACAACATCTGAAATTAAAGCACAATTATTTGTTTATAATAATAATGTTTATTGTAAACAATAAACATTAAAGTGGATGATCAGCGCATTATTTTGCTATCAGCTGCTGAAAGCTTTGTTTAGCACGACCACATCATGTATATCTACAACCTAATTGTTTCCTTCTATTTACCTTTAACTAGTGAATATAACTAGAGCTCAACTGGTCTACAGGGCCAATAACAATACTGATTATAAGTCATCAAGGAGACCGATAACGATATATATCTAGAGTAAAAATGAAAATCCAGATAACAAAATCTAAATTAATACAAAAGAGGACAGATGTATCCCTGCTTAACGAGCACTACGTTTACTCTCAATACAATAAGTGCTGCTGAAGCAGTGCTACCTCCCTCCCTGCCTTAGAAGCAGATAAAGTTATGCTAGAAAGTCTGATGTCAGCTGACCTTCATCAGGGCAGATATTTGGACTTGTCACAGGAGTAAATGAATAAACAGGTGTAATAATAATGACTGCACATTTCTTCTGTGCATGCTTGTTCCCCGTCAGGTCTTACTGGGACACTTAATGGAACTGAGCCATGACCCTGAACGGTGGATTTCTCCTTCTACGTTTATAAGATGCAGGTGTGCTACGTCCTAAACGTGCAGAAAGTTTTGAATATGAGCAGAAATCTTGCTACAACACATGCTATTAAAATCAGAATTAATGAATTTATCATTAATAGGGGCCACATAAACATTTAGGGAGAGAACATTAAGTGGATCTACACTCTAGGAAGAATTCGGGGGACCTGTTTCCACCACGTAATTAAATGAACGTTTGAAAATTCTCTTTTAACGATTTGGATAAACCTTCTGAGTTGCAAAAATTGTTTTACAGAGTTGTGTTGCCATAATGTTGGTAATTACACCAACTTAAACTGGAATTTCTGTTGTGGTAAATTATGCAAACTGGCTTCAAATCCTTAAAGCCACCAATCATTAAATAATTGCTAATTAAAAATACTACAAATTGTAGTGGGAAAGCTAATTCCGCTAACTCAGTACAGTCTGCTGGCTGAAGATAATTCCATCAGAAGTTGAGGCAAACTGCTGTTTTGTCTGTTTGATTGTTTTCTTTATTTGAGCCGAAATTGATGCCGAAAAGGAAAACGCTGAGAGATAAAAATCCACCAAGATCCTGGAGGAGGACCCCAGTCCACTGCTTCATGTGTCCCGCCTGAATGGAATCTATGGAAGGAGCCATCATTAACTCCATCTACTGCCAAAAGTCAAAATGTCTGCCGTGGAAAAGGGACATTAACACTTTTATTGTCAGAAATCACTATAGCGCTTTTCCAAAGACTTGAAGTGCTAGTAAAAGCTTTTGAATCTAATTAAATGCCTAAAAAAATCCCATTTGAGAAGGTTCGTTCGCCTGCATGCTTCTGCTAAACTAACTGAGGCATTGGCTTAATTGGAATCGCCATTAGCTTTCCCATTACGGACACCTTCCAGCTATGAGCTCAAACACCGAGCTGAGCTCGCGCCGGCCTGCTGAGGGGAACACAGTGCACGAGGCTACATTATGAAAAACAAAGCTGACACTTTAAAGAGAGAATTGAGGCACCTCGCTGAAGTCCAGAGCGCCCAAAGGTGCTGTCAGAATCAGTCTGCGCGCCAAGCAGGTCCGCGTGCTCCCCAAAAGCGCGAGGTCAGACAGGGAGCTCGCCGCGCTCCAGTCCACGCGCAACGACCCGTCGACCGCCACTGTCAGGAGGAAGAGAGCCACGTGCAGGTTAGAGCAAAGCAACACAGAGGCGCTATTATGACAACAACGCTTCCGCCTGGATGTGGCGCCAAAACGTTATTGTTCATAATGTGCTTTTTTTTTCTTTTTCTTTTAACGTCACTGGAGCAACAATTACAGCAACTATGAGTTTTAGGGGGTAAAAGCTAAACCGCACGTGTTGCCGTAGTCATAGTTGCAGTCACCATGCCAACCCATGCGTCCTGCACGAGGACCCCAAGGCGACGGGGGCCATGACCATATAAGGGAATGTCATGTATCTCACTGCAGTTTCCTTCAGTGGAGACCAACCAACCAGAAGCCGGTATGGAAGCATCCCTACATGTCTCCAAAGGTAGAGAGAGGCGGCACACTGGGAACAAATACTGTGAAGGAAACTGCGAAGCAAAGACTTTAAAAAATGCTTTAAATCTGAGTCAAGAGCAGAAAAAAAATCAATAGGATGCTGCTTCAAAATCGAATTTTAAAAAGATGTTTGGTGTTAAAGGACAATAAAGTTGTGCTTAGGATTGTACCACACATGCTGAGGAAGTGCACTCTTCTTCTTATTCTTATATTATGTGTGGTCAGTCGTAGGTTTCGTGGAAGCAAAAAAAAAAAAAGAAATTCTTATTTATGCACCAAATTGTGCCTTTCTGCGTCAGGTAATGGTGCAGAAAAAAAATCAGACCTCAAATAACAATTCAGTGGAATATAATGCAGGAAGGCGTTTTCACATTTTAAACTCTTCTGGATGATAAATCTTTTTTCAGGTTTTTATTGTGGCCACAAATGTACTAAATGTTGCTCCTGCGTTCCAACCCAAACCTACGCCTTTAAACGTGTGGTACAAGTCTAAGCGTTGGGCTCCTTGGCTGCAGCGCATCCTGCAGAGACTACGTGTAGTGAGATAACGTGGGGGCGGCTGTGGAGGCCCACTTCCATGCACTTTAAAGCCATGCCATGTCATGCAGGTACGGCTCTGGCAGCAGCCCAAGCCTGTTTGATATTTTATGAAGGTGCTTTGTCGGAGAGGAAGAGAAGCAGTGTAACATATAAAGAAAATGGCAGAATAAGGGGCATGCCTGTAATGGCATGATGCTTTTTTTTTTTTACCTCCCAGTTGTTAAATGCACATTTCTCTGACGTGAACAGGCCACGTCATTAAACGCAGCCACACAGAGGAAGAGAGCTGCAGCGCTGCACGGAGCGCAAATGTCACTAACCAACCTCCTGGCTGCAAACGTCACATAACTGCCCTCAGATATGTGGCTATCCGGTTGATTACATGAGTTTAACCTTTCTATCAGCTGCCCTCGTCGTGACCTGACAGACTCTTGGACCATGAGGGACCAAAGGTGTTTATTAGGCTGCTGCTGCTGCTGCTGCTGCTGATGCGGATGGAGCTCTCGGCGCAGTGCGCAGCAGGAACATTTCAGCACCTGGACAGCTCCCTCTGCCCTCCACACGCTCGCCACTCTTCAAATCAGATTTGCAAAACGAGATTAAGAGGTGGGCCTCTAAATGTCAGAGCCTGGCTCCTCTTTCCAGCCCTCCACCGCAGGGACACGTTTCTAGTTACTGTCTGTGAAAAGAACAACTCGCTCGATTAGTCGCCAGCACCCATCTCAAATATTGAACCCAATATCAGGACCAATCACTCACCCCCGGGTCAAAGACTCGCCGCTTAGTGTCCCGAGCTCAAGTTGCCCAACAGCCGAATTCAATATGTGCCGTTTAATTGGGTGTGATGAGATCGGATGCCCGGGGTGCATTGTATCTCTGAATCTAGGCCGCCTCGGTCAATGAAAGTATTGTTTGGAGGAGTGAAAGATGCGCACGTGTGTTGTGTAGCATCCGATTGATTTGCAGAATGTGACCGTCATATGAGCCTGTGTGCATGCATATAAACCCTGCAGGATCTCACGGTGACACGTCAGCAAGTGACGGTCAGAAAACGCGCGGATTGGACACGGATCCCCACAGCCTGAGCTGGATGCACAACAGTTTGGTTTGTTGCCCTCAAGTGCAACACACACGAGCTATGAGATTTTCTTCACACTTCGCCAGAAATGTGTTGCATTCACGGCCGCAATGCACAAACTCAGTCACTGTGCGAGTCCGTGTAGCCATGAGGGGGGTTTCTGCAGATTGGCTGTGACCCTGCGCCAGATGAAGGATGGAGGTTTACGTGGCTGCAGGCTGCAGATCAAAGTGAAATAATAGTAATAAAAAAAATCAACAGATGTAATGGGATTGATGGGGAGTGGGTTGCATTGTGAGCTGAAACGCCCCACACACACGTGTGGCCGTAATGGGCTTGATCAAACCCAGAGATTAGCCTTTTCACCCGGAGAATCAGACGGAAACTTGTGGCGGCTCTCCTGTGAGGCCCCGCGGTCGTCCTCCATCTGTGCCTAATTTGTTCGACGTCTTTTTATCTTAATTAATCTCCTTCCCTTGACTGTGATCTTGCTAAGACGGAGCTGCAGCAGTGTCTCCTCTCCGCTCCAAGCCAAAGAGGATTGCAGGTTTATTTTTATTTATCTGTTAATTGTGCTTATAGGTCTCGCTCACACACAAACACACGCAGACACACAAACACACGCGCGCGCTCCTTCCCTCTCTGTAGTTCCCGTTGTCGTGGAAACTGCAGATGGAGAGACCTCGGCTGTGCATCTCTCTCTCTCTCTCTCGTGTCTTTTCGGCTCTCTTATGAGCGAATCAACACAATTAGGTCAAGACCAGCAGCGGTGTGATGTCACTCTTACATACAGGCTGGACGTGAGCGGGGAACAGGTGGCTGCTGCTGCTGCTGCTGCTGCTGACCTGCAGGCTGTATGACACCGTGGAGAGACGTGCAGAAACACTGCGTGGCTGTCTGTGGGGTTTGTGGGGACTTGGGGCATGTCCTTACGCACTCCGCGACAAGGAGACTGGGACAAGGCGCCATAATCATCAAGTGACTGGAGCGACAGATTACACCACCAATTAGAGGCGGCTGATGTGTGAGCACGGATATAATGGATGGATCACAGTGTGAAAGGCTGCGTTTAACGTTCACATCACCGGGGAAATATAGCGGATAGATAGATGGATGGATGGATGGATGGATGGATGGATGGATGTGGGTCGGCTTTGATTTATGGCTACAGAGGAGACCCAGTCAAATAAATAACGCGGGGGAGACACGCGTCAGAGGTCGGGGTAGCTCATATAGGACGGGGCCCTCGGCGACATTTAGCCGCCAGCCGAGCGGATGGGAGACACGTACAGCAAAGGTGTAAACAACCGTGAGAGCCATAAGATGTGGCGGCAACAGGGAGCTTGTTTCTTGGCAACAAGCAGATGATTCGTTGCTGCATGTGCGCGCCGAGAAGGACTGATTATTTTGTTTATTTTTATTTTTAATTTGGACATCTGCGAACTCACCCATCACACCAAGAAAAGATTATCCTACTTCTAAGAAACACGCTGTGATGCACCTCTAGATCGATTTTTATTTGCGCCCGTCGCACGCAGAAGAGCAATAAACGTGTCCTACCTTGAAACTAAACTGGGTCAGCGCGGTCAGAACCATCGTGTCTGGATGAGACTTCAGCTCTAAAAGAGACGTTTTAACAGCGCATCCCTCAATGGTGTCAAGAGCACCTCTGTCTTCTCTGCCTCTGACTGGCGTGCTCACCAAAAAGCTTCTTGCAACTCTCGTAGCATCGCGATGTTTAGGCTGCAAGACACCAGCCCCTCAACTCGTCCCCGCCACCCCGCTAGAACGCACCCCTGCACACACACGTACACACTCCATTAACCTGTAATGGTCTGAAGCTGTTTCGGTTCCAGCCATCGAAAGCAGGAATGTGACACATAAAAGGCTCCTTATTCGGATGCATATGACTCAGCAGCGCTATCATATGTCTCACATCTCGGGCACAGCATGCTGTGCACTGCAAGCACCCAAAATCCCCTCGTAGCCTCTGCACCCCGCGAAAGGCTGCAGCAAAACAAATGCGAAAAAACGAGGCTTCCTCCAGGCGTGCTTTATTTTCTAAGGAGAGAGCGAAATTAAAGCGATTCTTACCAACAGGCGCTTTGGAGCTGATACAGCCCATTTTCGCAGCTGCATGTAGAGCCTTTCTGGTGCGCAATCTATCAAATTTCTTTGCCTAATTTCCCCCTCTGTAAGAGTGGCCGAGCGTACCTCACTGATCGAAAGCCTCTGTCTCTCTACGGAGGCTCCGCTGGGTTCGAGGCGCTGCTGAGCTCAGACCGCCGGAGTGACGCCGAGGGCGGGGGGTAGTCCAGCCATCACTTCTGCGCTGTTCTCTGTTTCTTCTGGGCTTTTAACTTGCTTCAAATCCATGCATATGAAGTCTTAGTGCTGCTTTGTTATCTATTTCTATTTTTTAATTTCTTTTTTTCTTTAGCAGGTCGAGTCTCTCTTGGCGCAGCTCCAAGTCACCAGGTCCTATCCTGCGCTTCAGCACCACACTGGCCGGACAGCGCTCTGCGTGGAGGTGGCAGCATGGGCTCGTGTCCCGGTCTGGCAGCTGCAGGTGTCGGGGTTTCCCCTCCCGGTCACTGCAGGTGAAAGTCAACACCACACCGTCAGCACGCTCCCGGTGCGCCCTGCGTGCGCTCTCACTATCACCCGGTCAGACTCTGAGCCTTTGGAGACTGGCACATTGATACAAAAATCCCACGCTTAACTGCTTATATACAGCCAACCCCGAGTGTCCGCCTCCTTGTGCCGTTCAGCCCCGCTAGGTAGAAGCGGAATGAGACGTGATTGGCTGGTGTCACCTTACATACCAGCCGACATGGGGAGAGGAGGGCGGAGTCAGCCGTGCACGCAGAGGAGGAGCAAGTTGTCAACTAAGGATTACATTTCTCCTCATCTATACACCAGCTGACATAATGACAAATGAGGAACATGCTGCATATTTCAACAGGTCTAAAAGGGAAAATGGCAGAGTGTGCTGACAGCCTGGAGCAGGTTATGATGTTGGGGAACAATAATAGGAGAGCAACACTTGTGCATAAGGTGGGATATTAATTCTATTTTTTTCCCTCCTGTCGAGAGCAATCCAACAGTCTCAGGGAGAAAAGGTCGCGTTGAACCTATAAATTCCCGCAGGCTTCATAGGCTACACGGCGCAGCGCAGTGATGCAATCATGGAACCGTCCAATTATGGCAGCAAACGCACATGTGAGCAGAGTGACATTTTTCACGCGCAGTCTGACACGTTTCAGGACATCAGAACCCAATTTCATACTCCCACACTTTGCAGTGGTCTAGCTGCAGGCTCATTACGACCTCAAAGTCCGCGCGTCCAAATATAGATAGCAAGATTTAAAAGAGAAAAAAAAGGCCCACATTCTTTCCTCATGCATGTTCAGTCACAGTAACCCATTACAGCACTGACAGAGGGCGTGAGGAGGAAGACAAAATGAAGAAGAAAGGCCCATTGTGGCCTATTTGTAAGCAACCCAAGCTTGTCTCCAGGCAGGCAGCAGATGAAGCTCCTTCATTCTACCCCCGTCTCTCTTAACGCCCACCAGGACGCTAAACATAGACCCGCAGAGCTGCTGACCCACGAGGCCGCTCCTCCACCGCACCTATTATCTCTTATGGAGAACAAATCCGTCCGGGATGCTCTTTCAATTCAGGCTCAAAATAGGATAATGCAGGAGCTTCTCAATGGGCGCTCGGTTATATTTAAACACACTATGAACCCAATCACCAAATTTTACACAATCTATTGGATTTTACCCTATTTCAAGAAAGAAGAATAAGAGCCACACGTCTGGAAATCAGCAACTTTATGGACTAGTGTTGTGTCTGAGCGTCTCTGGAACCAGTGTGTGTTAGTCAGAATATTCTCCTCAAACTGCCCCCAAAAAATGTAATTACGCACGGTGTCGGTTCTCAGCCATCATGGCAATCCTAAGTGCGTCAGTACGGAGCAACAGGACTTCCTTCTTTGTTCTTGAAGACATTTCAGCTCTCATCCAAGAGGCTTTCTCAGTTCCAACTGACTAATGAAAACCCCCAAGCAGTTATTCATTCTTCTAAAGTCAGCGAGGACGGAGGAAGCCTCTTGGATGGGAAGTGAAACGCCTTCAAGAATCCAAATAAAGTCCAACTGTCTTCTAATTCAGAACTACGCATGGCGGTGGCTACTGGGGGCCGTGATGTAACTCTCATCCCAGCTCCTGCTCATCGCTTGCATAAGTTTATGGGGGGAACAGAGCGAGATGCTTCAGTCTGACCGATCAGAGCCGCAGGAAAACAGCCTTCACACATGGGTCTGTACGTTAGATCCAGATAAAGATCCATCAACTATACCCGCTGTAAGCAGGGGAGCTGGAGCCTGTTTCAGCTGACACAGGGCCAGGGGGGGCGGGGTAAACCCTGAGCAGGTCGACAGTCCATCACAGGACTGCACCGAACGATCCAAAAGGAGGATTTGGATCGACGCTCCACTGCACGTTTAAAGGCGCGCAAAGGAGACAGAAGCGCAGCGGTGAGGTGCCACAGGTGTTCTCCCACCGAGAATCCACCTTAAAACGGCGCCATGAAAACACTCTGATCCAAAATGATCCATACAGTAAACACTTTGAAAGTAAATAGGAGGAACCCAATCACACCGACCTGAAAATAAACAGTGCAGAATGTGTTGCTCATCACACAGTCGACACGTGGGAGGACTGTCACCAGTCACGCAGTTCGGCCTATTTCTGCACATGCAGGGGCTTCTTATGTTTTGTGATTTTTACAGTTGGAAGACTGTAATCTTGCGCGCGCCCCCTCTGCTCCTGCAGTGCGCAATCAACTCTCATTTCGTAACACATCAAAGTTGCGGCAAATGCAGAGCTGAGCAGCCCAGTCTGCGCCGTATCTGGTGCTCTAGCGCCACCGAAAGGACGGCAGCGGTAACGGCAGCTGTGGGAGCGACAGGAGTGCGGAGAGCCTGTTGCGCAGTACAGTACTGCAGAGCTGAGGGGCAGAACACGAGGAGACGGTGTTATGAGAGGCCGGGCATGTTCAGGCTGCAGTACTGAGCATCCTCCTGCTTTTATGAAATACGGGCACAAAATAAAAAGCTACAATACCCAAAGCTCAATAAAAATATCTGAATATATCAGAAATGTCCTGCATGTGTAAGAAATCTTTAAACTTAGTGAGATAGTGGCGTTCACACAACCCAGTTATGGTTTCCAGACACACTCAGGAAGATGTAAAGAAATTCTGCATCCACAAATATATAATAAATGACTAAATAAGTCCTGGCTATACATCAGTCTGAAATATATTTAAGCAAGAAAACACAAGTCATTATTTTTAGGATTATCTTGGGGGGAAATGTCGGAAACAATTATTAATAATTATTGTTTTGCGACTGATCATTTCTCAAATCATTACAGATTTATTTTGTCTGGTGAAAAAAAAGAAGCAAAAACTTATTTTCACCTTGAAAACAGAAAACTTGTGATTTTTTTTTAAACATGGAACTGATTCCTGTGATCCTCAGTTTCACATTCTGTGTGACTGAAAGCTTTTCATTTGAAAACACGTGTGTGAGGAGAGTTTCTAGTCTGTTAAAAGACCTGATGAGCTGCGCTGTGATCAGTCCGAGGAAGCCGTCGGGACGGCAGCTCCCAGCTGAGGACTGCAGCCGTCCTCTTCTTCAGAGAGCCCAGAACAGAACGCAGGGCCAGTGATGAAACAGAAGCCCTCTGCCAGCAGACCAAACGGGCCTTAATGTCTATTCCAGAGGCTCTCAGCGCTGCAGATAAGAAGGAGGGCTTGATAAAAGCTCTACAGATTCAGATTCTTGTGAAGGAAAATGAGGACAAGATGGCATTTTAGATCTGCCTGGCTGAGCAAAAGAACAGCAGAGAATAACAGAGTGGCAGATGATGAAGCAGCCTGAAAAGCAGCTGGAGAGCTGCTGTCTCCAGCGGCAGGAGGAGATGTCCTGTCCCCTCAGGGCTCTAAGTGGGAACCAGCCGGCTCTGGTGGAGAAGCAGCAATTGTGGGACCTGAGCAGAGGATCAGTGATGGACGGGAGTGTTCACCTGGAGCAGGAGATTGTGAAGAACAAGCCGGAGAAGCCAGAAAGTAAAAGGTTCAAAAAACAAGGAAAACTATCTGAAAAATAAAAGGACGACTCCAACATGTTTTCTGCAAGTAGGCTACAGGTAAATACATAGTAAGAGCTTTATTTGAATTTAAATTTCAGCGCAAATTTAGGATTCCAAACCAATTATAATGGCAACCAGTATTTTTTAATTTAATTAGTTTTCATCAGTGCTTGCCCTACACACCACACTCTCAGCACATGTCCCCATCAGCCCTCTGATCTCTGTAGCTTTGAGCTTTAATTAAAAATGTATATCGTCACTTTATTTCCCCTGTACGTTTCTCTAGAAGAAGTACAAGCAATATTAAAAACGGCTTCTGACTGTAGTGAAAGCTTTGTAGACATTTTTCATCTCGTTGTCATCGTGTTCATGTGGCTGTCTGACTTAGATTTAAAACAGTGTCTAAACACCACCGTCAGTAGTAATGAGATCATCTGATCTACCAGAACACATGTTGAGAAAAGACTTAATGTCCCTGATCGCTTCCTGCTCATTAACATAACCTCAGTACAAGACAAAAGACAAAACACTTCCTCTTGCATCTCATCTCAAGCTGTTGAGCTTTTCTCCACCATATGATCCATAAATGAGTCTTCACTGGATGTGTGTAAAAGATGAGAGCAGTCCCATCATCTGAAACAGAAACGATGGCCTCCAGCCAGCCTAAATGAGTACAAGGAGACTCAAAATCAGGTTTAACAAACTCCAAACCCCAACAGATGTCCCAAATAATTACCACAATCTGTCACCCAAAGATAAAAATAGATGATCTTTAAATATTTTGCATTATTAATGGAGTGCTGTATTAATGTCATCAAACCAAGCTGCCTCATACTTCAATTAGCACTGCGGATATTGGAGGACAGGATCAAAGGAATGAGGAGTCATTTTTAGACTCCTCTTATAGCACAGGTTAGAAAACTACAGCGTTTATAAAGTCACATCTGATTGGCCGGGACAGCAGCAGCATCCTGTGTCGCTTTAGGAGGCGGATACAAAGATGTGGTTTTGGAAAATACACAGTGTTTGAAGACGTTTACGTTCTCATCCATCACCCAGCACCATCAGTGGCAGTGAATCCATTCTACAGCAGGACGATGAGCAGAATCATACAGAACCACCTTCATCAAGAAAACCAATAAACACATTTACCAACATGTAGACCATTAAGTGGAGCAGACAGGTACCGAGTCACAGGGCCCTCTTCTGTCCAATCATTTACTATTTATTAAGTCCAGCCCTCCTGTTAGCTGCTTTATAACCGAGGCAGCATTCATCCATCCATCCATCCATCCATCCATCCATCCATCCATCCATCCATTCATTCATCCATCCATTCATTCATTCATTCATTCATTCATTCATTCATTCATTCATTCATTCATCCATTCATTCATTCATCCATTCATTCATTCATTCTGCTCCACCAGCCTCTACAGACCCGCTGCTGTTCATCTCCTCTCCAGACATCTTATATCTTAGAAAACTCAGTGGTTGGAGATCTGTTCCTACCTTCTGACCCTGGTCTTGTCCAGGGAGGTCGATCCGTCTTCAACCGCAGCGTTCAAACCAAAGCGGGTCAGTCTGATGATGGAGGTCCTGAAGCTCGTCCGGAGAGCCGCCACGCGGGGAAATCACCTTTAATCCTCCTCAGACAATTTTAACATCCAGTAGGATCTTCTAGCAGTCAAACCCAAACTCCAAAGTGGCGCAAGTCACTGCGAACTTTCGATTTATTTCGGCTACTTCAGATCATAACCTCAAATCCACATCTGCAAACGTCGGGCCACTCAGCTCCATTTCCTCCGACATGTAACCACCGTTATCCAGCTCCGGAAGTCCTCACACCCAGCCTGTCTTCTTCGTGTCTCCTCCAGGCGTCCACCAGTCTCTCCTCTACTCACCATAAACTGTAATTCAAGCGCCGAAATCCACGTTTCCTCAGCGCCTGTTACCTGCCGTACAACTTCCGGGTTCGAGTCCGTTGTCTCCGCCCACCAGAGTGACGTCATAGCCGATCCGGCGAACTTGAGGCTCGAGCTTCTTCGTACACCTTTCTGCTCACACCGCAGCCACCAAGCAGCAGCTGGCCTTCACACTGAGGCGTTCAGGGAACATCAGTAAATTAAAATTGATAAGCAGTGCCATCAAATATTGCTCAAAGGCCATGAGTAGTTCATATTATACATAATCTGTGATACATGGATGTAATTGGGGCACTGTTTCATGTCAGCTCATGAAAGCTGTGCATGCTTGCACAAGTTTAAAGGCTATGCATCATGCTTGAGGCCACTCGTAATCTCATATCTCATAGTACATTTCCTTTGTATCAAGTCACTATAATAGTGTCTTGCCAGATGTTCGTCTGCGTGCATTCAGCATGTCGCTGGTCCCCTGCATCCAGATGTGAAGGTTGTGCACGCTTGCACAAATTCAAAGGAGATGCATCATCCTTGACCTCTTGACTGTCTCATCTTACAGAGTATATTTCCTTTGTGTCAAGTCACTGCATCAGTGTCTTGTGCAACGTTCATCTGTTTGAAAAGACCTGAAAAGGTCATGCTCCTAGCATGAATTCAAAGGAAATGCAACACACTTGTCGCTTAAAGTCCATTTCATTTCAAGGTGACTGCTAATCTGCTTCCTTCTGGAGTGCAGGTTTGGGGTTTGTGATCTCAGGGACTGTCTGGGTCACGCTTGCTCAGATCTTTCAAAGACTCCTGTCTGGACTAGAGCTTTTGTGTTAGTTCAGACAGATGTAGAGTCAGTGCATCACAAGCATCACTGTTTAAGTCCAGCCCACTCAGTGTGCTTTATAGCTGAGGCAGCGTTCATTCATTCTGCCTGCTTCATGCTCACCACATGGCTGCTACTCCAGCCTCTACAGATCAGCCAACCATCTCCTCCTCCTCCCTTAAAGATTCATTATCATAACTCTGGTTGGTTCTCATATTTTGTGGGACTGCAGAATGCACATTCTTCATAACTGTACCTTGAAACTATGTTAACATGGATTTTGTAAAGTGAGCCGCATTTAAGTTGGTCTCCCTGTTCTTGTGTTCACACTGTGTTCTTTGAACATTAGACATCTCCGGCTCTGCTGTTGGGTTTCTGATCTCAGGGACTGTCTGGGTCACGCTTGCTCAGATTGTTCCAGAGCATCACTCGAGCAGAGTCACCGGCAAACATAAAATGCATGTCATTCAAAAACAAATGGCTAGATCTGACAAAGTGTCCCGTCTGAATAGTGGGAAATGGAGATGGTCTTGTTGTTGAAGGTCACATTCATCGCTTCTACGGACGTACCTGTATCTGCACATTTGGCAACTTTGGAGGATTTTTAAGATAAACAGAAGGATTGTCGTCTTTTATGTTTTTAAGAAAGCACAAAATGAGGTTGCTTTTTGTAGATAATGAGATCTGACATTCAGGATAAAGCCATAAATGTCAACACATGGCATCATCAGTATGTAGAGATAGTTTATATAGATAAAGTGACAAACCAACTGTCTGGTCAAGGAATGCTTTATTTGTACATCAGGATTTGACAAACTGCTGATATAAATTAGATGACTTTACATTTCAATAGGTTGTTTTGAACATTATGATTCTTTAATGTCTTTGGAGGTTCTCTGAAACATCTCAGATATGACATCTGAGAGCCTGATCCTCTGTGTGTGATCCAGATGCTTTACTAGCAGCAACGTAACCTGCTACTTGGAGACACACGAGCACACATCTGCCCTGTTGAAGCGTCCTCCAGCAAGTCACTGGTTCCACGGCTGTATGACCCTGATCCCGGACCACAGAGTCAGATCAGGAAGGAGCAGGGATCTTAGATCAACACTGTGAGGGCCAGCAGTGCACTGAGGAGGCTGCTGAGGAGAGCCGATGAGGCGCTGGCTGCCCCGTTCAAGCCGTCGGTGGAGGTGGGGCGGGTTATTTCCTGCTCCTGGCAGTGCCGAAGGTCGGCGCCCACACATGCAGCGTAGGCCATGGCGTGGGCGATGTAGTTCTGCTCCTGGACACCCTGGAAGAGGTGGGCCATGGGTCCGCGGGCCAGCACCGCCACGTCCTCCCCGCTGTGGGTGGTCGACTGTAAGGGAACCGCAGCCAGCTGGACGTAGTCTTTACCTTCTGGATGAGCCAAACGAATAATACAAAAGGTTAATTCATTTAAGCTGCGTCACAACATGCATTCATGCAACAGCTGCACTTTAAATTGCTTTAATCAACGCTTTTATATTCACAGCAGAGAGTTTTAAGCTTCTTTGCTCATGAACTTACTCAAGATATGCAAATAGAATACAGCAGTGACTGTGGATTGTTAAAGGAGTGCTGCAGCCGGTCAGGGATTTCACATTAATCAACTCCAGTCTGTGACACTCTTGTAAGAAAAACAAAGAAATAATGAGTGTGTCTTACTGGTGGTGACGTTGCGGATGTCAGGGCGCTTGCCGTTAACGATTTTGTGTCCGGGCCCGTTGCCGTACATCAGCGTGGTGTACGGCTTCATGTCTGTGGCCCACAGTGGAGATTTACCTTCAAAAAAACACACAATATCTTTCATTTATCTTGTTTTTTTCTCTTGCTTCATTCTGCCTCAGAGCAGGAGTTACACGCACACATCATGGATAGGCTAAAACACACGAGAGAGAAAGGTTTTCTGGATCCCAGGGGGTCTGCAGGAGGTCTGGAGCTTGTTGAGCGTCTCAGTATTTCTCTCCAGATGAGCCATTAGCCTGGCGAGTCTCCCTGCTGATGAAGAGCTCAGAGTTTCACAGTCACATTAATCACTGCTGCACCGCTGGGAGGAGGAGGAGGAGGGTAAAATAAGGACAGGACAGGAAAGGAGGAGTAGAAAGGTAGGAACAGCATGAGATAACCACAGCTCAGTCAATATACAGTCGGCTTTGAAGACTGATGCCGATGCATTTGTGGGCTGAATCTTTTAAAGTGAGTATTTTCATGCTGGAAAATCCCTCAAATATCAGTGGATGCTGTGGACTTTGTTCTGGGCAGAGTGGAAACCTCTGTGAATCAGTTTTCAGACTTTACAAGATACTAAAAAGCCTCAGTGGAGACCTGACGAGAAGAAAATGTGGTAATGCTCAGCAGCCTGACAGCGGATACAAGGCAAGACGACACATCACGCTTTATACTGAGAGTAGTTTGTTATCAGTCTGAACTAAATGAGACTACAGCTAATTTATTGGAAGCATCAACCTTGATTTCTACATTTTCTTCCTGCCTCCCAGAAACACTCTGACTGTATCCTCGTGGTTGTTTTACTATAAACATCAATATTATTTATTGTAAGTTCCTCTAAAACACTAACTCGTTAACCCGTTATTATCATAACACCATCATAACATCCATCCATCCATCCATCATCTCTACACCACTCAATCCTCACTAGGGGGGTGGAGTCTATCCCAGCTGACTCAGGGTGAAGGCAGGTTCACCTGGACAGGTAACCAGTCTATCACAGGGCTACACTTAGAGACAGACAACCAAGCACACTCACATTCACACCTACGGACAATTTACAATCACCAATTAACCTCAGCATGTTTCTGGACTGTGGGAGGAAGCCGGAGAACCCGGAGAGAACCCACGCTGCACGGGGAGAACATGGAGACTCCACGCAGAAAGATCCCGGGTGTCCTCACCGGGACGCTAACCGGCCCATCATAATTTATGGTACAATCTTTTTTTTTTTTTTTTACTTAAATCTTGTTTTTAAGTTTTGCTTTCACTCATTGCTTTTGTTTGCTTGCATTTTCAGTTAAGGTTAGGAACCAAAACTACTGAGTCAGGTTTAGAAAAGATCTTGTTTTGGGTTAAAATACACTCTAATCCTGTACATTTACAGGATGACGACTCCACCAGAGAGCTCATGTGCACTTATTCACACTTATTCGCCTCAAGTCTGAGGGTTATTTTCTGATTATTGCTGATCATAATGTTTGATAAGGTGCGTTCTGAGCCAACTAGAAGGTGGAGGACGTCCCTACTGGCCCGAGTGTAAGGCTGCTAAATGCTATTTAATAGGCTGATAACATCTGAATCAGCATTTACAGAGGCGGGGCTGTTTATGAACAGGACGCACACAGAACGGGCAGCAACTGCACCATGAGCAGACATTTTCTGAGTCTGATGTAAGCGTATGTATGTAAATGTATTGGACTAGTATCGCTCTCAAACTGTACAACTGGGCTGCGATGTAAAGGGTTATCAAACTGTGACCCACAGAGCAAATTCAAAGGGCAAGCTTCAACCACGATGCAAAAAAAAAACAACAACAAAAAACCGCCACTAGCCTCTCATGGTTTTATTTGAGGTTTTAGGTTCACCTTTGTTTTCGTACAATGGGAGTAAATGGATTTTGTTTGTGGTGCTCACAGCTTTGAAAAAAAATTCTGTTTAAAAATTCAATAGAAATCTGGCTTTTCAAACACTCTGGAGAACCCACAGACCTCACTAACTGTCAGAGAGATGCTTTAAAGCCATAGACAAATCAAACTGATCCTGTCCACACAATCTGTCCACGGTGGACTACTGAGGCTTTATGTAGCAACAGATTGTCTTCACAGTGGACAGTTGGACTTATTATATGTGGAAAGTCACGTGTGTCTCTACTCACATTCATATTCTCTGTGTTCTGTTTGGTTAGCAGCTAAAAGAAATTCAGCCACAACTTATTTTAGTATTTACACCTGTCCTCTTCCTTTACTGACGTGTCAAAATGTCTCCTGTGAAAGAAAGGACATGTCGGGTTTTAAGCCTTCAGCTAAAGGAGAGAGAACAGCGAGGAAGAGGAGGCAGGGAGCGAGAGGAAGAGAGGTAAGGAGTACATGAGGTCGATGAGGAGATCCTCCAAAGGGAGATTAACAGGCGAGAGAGACTGACAGAACGAGGAGAAGCTAGAGGAAAAAATGTAAGAGAGAGGGAGGCGTCGGTGTCGATGGTCGGAGACAGGTAGAAGGAGGAGAGACGAGGAGGAAGCGAGGGACTGAAATAGAAAGGCGAGCGGGAGAAAGGCTGCCAGCTATATGTGTTTACCCCGGCTGTAATTGCAGGGAAGAGAAAGCAGAGGAAATGTCAAGCTGCTGGTGGCAGCAGCACACTGAAGCTGTGAGGAATCACACACACACACACACACACACACACACACACACCAAGCACAAAATGCCACCTTGGGTGACTATTGTCATGGTGGATAAACACACCTGGAGGGGGAAATGGATGGATGGATGCAGCACAGGACTGAGAGGAGGGAAGACGAACCCTCCTCTTCTTCCTCTGCTGCCTTTCAACGTGCACAGATTTAAACTTTAATGTAACTGGATGTTTCATCGGTACAATAAAATCTCTGCATCTCAAAGGCTGAGCAATGAAAGAACTGCTGGAGGTCAGCTCATAATTACCCAGAATGCTCTGCCCTCGAAATGGGAATCCATTGAAGGTCAAAGGATGGGAGTGGTCAGCCATGACGACAGTGAGCGTTTCAGCCTCTTTGGTGAGTTCGAGGCCCTTGGCGATGGCGTTGTCGAAAGCGACCGTCTCGTGGAGCGCCATGTACGCCCGGCCGTCGTGGTGAGCCTGGTCAATACGTCCCCCTGAACACAGAGAGGAGAGGTTACCAGAGGTCAGGTCGGCCCCAAACAGGACAAATGATTGGTTCCATTAAATCAATGAAAGAGTGCTTCATCTGAGGAAGTGTAACAAATTAATTCAACCAAGTACCACTGATTAGTTTCCCCATTTCTCAGTGTTTAATTAAGCGAACTCAGCAAAACAAAGCTTTCTATTCCGCAGAAGCAAAATCCTTGTAGAGAAACTTGTGATTCAGCCTCTCGGTCCAGCAAAGCAGAGCTGCAGGTCTGAGACGAGGACTTGGTGGCTGTGACAGCGTTTGAGTTTTAGACCCGTGAAGACGTGATGATTGAAAAGCATTTAGATTTAGAGATTTGAACCTAATAAGACATGGAGCAAAAAAAAAAAGGTAGACATGACACTAAATTGTCTTGAATGACTAAACTTGACTTGTCTTAAAAGACTTGAGACTTGGTTCTGACTCAAGAGTCAAATTTGGCTTTTTTTTAAGTGATTAAAAACTTGATTCTGGCTTGTCTGGTATTTAGTCCGACTTGTTTTGAATGACTTGAGAAATGTTTCAGAGCTGTTTGAAATATCTCAAAACTGGAGTCTTACTCAAGACTTTACTTCGACTGTCAAATGACTTGAGACTTGACTCTTGCTAATCTTGAAAGACTTGAAACTTGATTCTGGCTTGCATTGAATGCCTTCGCACTTGAGCCAGACTTGTGTTGAATTATTTGGCATTTAATGCATGAAATTAATTACCTTATTTACTTTGACATGACATTAGACTCTGACGAATCCTAAATTACTTTAAAGTTGACTCTGACTTGTCTCAAATGACTTGAGTCCAGACTTGCCAAAAACACTCAAGATCTGCTCTGAAAAATAGCCCCGACGTTTAATGAGCTGTTCCCTCTGTACAGGATCAGTCTGGTTAGTGATGCACATCCACAGGTAGATTTCAAAGATGAACCTCTTCTCCAGCAGAGAAAGTTCCCTTTACAGGTAAATGAAGCTCGTGTAAGTTTTTATTCTTTGCTCTACCACATCTCCCCACTGCTGTCCTCTCCACTAGCTGTACTGCAGAGTGAAGTAGCCCCGAGTTAATAAGTTGTGATCTTGGCGAGCTGTCATTGATTGGGTGCACCATATGCCGGCTTCTATTTATACATTTGCCTGTTATTTTAAAGTCATTGGGAAGACACTCGGTAGCACCATGGACTCCCGAGGCAGCTGCCTCAGATTAAAGGAGAGATGGATGAGGAGGCCAGTGAGGCAGCCGTGTGGAACAGAAACACATCAGGCCACCGCGCTCACAGCACACACTGCAGCAAACTCATTGAGCTATATGCAAAATCAATGTCAAGTCACCGGATCTGCTGCAGGTACACACTGTTCTGTAACATGAGGTATTCTGGGGGCTGCTGCTACAGCAGATACCACGAGGTGTCCGTCCGACATCGCTGCCGAAGTCAAACGCATATTGATATGTAAGAAAGGACGACAATTACTGCAGTCTAGTTCTTTAATTGCCAATTAAGTTTGCTTTGTGATTGTCACAGGATCGATGGTTCAATTGATCCACCGGCACCAGCCACGGGTTGTTCTTTTTTTTAAATCTATTTTTAGTCAAACCTCTTTCACCAGCCTGTCTGTGATGGATTAAGTGATGTAAGCATGTGGACGGTGGCTGAAGCTGTTGTCCTCACCCTCCACTAGCAGGAAGAAGCCTCTGGGGTTTTTCTGCAGGATGCGGATGGCCTTTTCTGTGGTCTCGGCGATGGACGGATCCATCTTTGGGTCCCTCTCTACGTCAAAGCGGAGATCACCCGGTTCAAACAGAGCTGGAGAGAGAGAGGTAAACCAAATTAAAGTTACAGTATGTCCGATCTATCAGCCCACAGTGGAGGTTAGGAGGGAAGGAAAGTCCTATCCTCCTCCTCCTCCTCCTCCTACTGCCACTATTTCCAGCTCAGGTTGTGATAAAACACAGCGCAGGGGAAAATCCAAAGTCTCTGTAGTGTGAGCGCTCAGTCCAGAAAAAGCATGATGACTGCATATCTACATCTCCACAGCACAGAGAAGACACCAAGTTCACTGACATCATGGTATACTTAGCAGGTGCTGACTTACAGTATCTGCTAAGTTAGAAACTAGCAGGTTCTGACAAACATATTGGAGCGTTTAGCCACTAAAAGAGACAGAAACACTGAGCCACAACATTAAAACCAGCTGACTTGATCTTATTACGATGCTGTTTTGGGAAATCCTGGGTCCTGGCATTCATGTGGGGCACGACTTTGACATGTAGTACCCCCTGGCAGCAGCACTTCAGGACAATCCGCCCCACTACACTGCAAAAACTGTTCAGGAACAGCTTGAGGAACACAACAAAGAGCCCAAAGTGTTGCCTCAGGCCCAAAGCTTCCCCCGAACCCAATCTGATCTGCAGGATACACTGGAGCAAACCCAGTCCATGGAGAGTGAGTCCACTGGACCCAAAGGACCCACTGGTAGTGTGCCAGAGGTCCTCTGGGGATAAGAACAGAACTAAATACTGAACTTACATGTAAGACTGACACAAACACAACTTCACATTCACACTCCATGTCTGCTTATGAATGTTAACGAGAAAAGGTTTGCGAGGACATTAATAAGAAAAACTTTTTTTTAAATTACTCATAGTTAGTGACAGAAATTCATCCTGATTCTAAAATCTGCTGGAGGCGACCAAATCAGAGGTAAAAAATCAGAAGTATTGTGTCTGGTTTTAAATAGGATCTTTTTTGAATGGACTTTGGTTTGATGAAGGTTCATTAAAGGGCTGCAACTAAAGATTATTTTAATTGTTGATTAAAAAAACAAACAACTTGTTTCAGTTGTGTTTCCATGTGCTTGTGTGTCTCATCAGTTAATATTTTTTATTTGGTTAAACCATTTAGTTCAGTTAATTATGTAACCAATAATCTTCATCCTGCGTTCTCATACAGTAATAACACAAAAATAACCCCTGACTAATACAGTAATAGTAATCATAGTGAACAGATGGCATGTTGACCACACATTTCATAAAAGACTCATGCTGTACATGTTTTTGCACCTTGACAACATTATGTAGGTTGAAGCAAAAAAAAAAAGTGTATTGAGAGCTGGCATTACTAATACAAGACGCTGGTGACAGAACCAAGGACACTTTAGTCCTGTTGATGTTGAGCTCTGCATGGGAAGGCTTTGCTTTTACGTGGAAAGAAGAGAGAGGGCAACGCAAGGGGAAAATAAAAAACAACTTACCCATGAGGTAGTCAGTGTTTTCAGGGTCAACGGCGTCGAAATCAGTTTTATTCCACACATAGCGGGCTACCTGTGACCCACATAAGAGAAACATCATCACCATAAGTGGGAGTGGGATGCAGAAGTCTTTGTGCTTGTTGTGAGTCAGCGGATGAGTCACTTGTTGTGGTTCGATTTCCACAGATACTCAAAGTTTTCTCACCTCACAGTGTTTTTGTTTACACTCACACTGTGAATTAATGCCAGGCATTTCTGAATATATATGCAGCGTCAAAGTCAAATACATTCTGACACACTCACATCAGTGCTGCAAGAAGAAGCCACCATGGAGGAGAATTTGACTCTCCTGCAGGTGATGATCATAGAGATTTTGTTCCTGCGTATTAATGTCTATTAAATGTAGGAATTAACTAAGGATGACAAAATTGAAGGTTATTCTTATGATTAAAACGCTGCACAGCTCTAAGCTTTTATTTTAGCTTCTTTCTGTTCACAAACAACAACAATGAACTGTAAAAGCATTTAAAAGAGTGATTTATCCCTTTAGAAGAGCAAGTAGCTTATATACCTTATATACCTGGCAGACTGAAGGAAGCAGCATTTTGTGTAACTGCTGAATGAACACCAGCCTCACGTCTGTCTCTAAACTTTCACACTGATATAATGGAGGTAATATTTTTTAGTGGTGGCTAAAAATTTGATTTGAAAAATTAAACAAACAACAATATTTAAGTTTCCATTCAAATGCAGGTTAACCTGATGCAGGACATCTGGGCTCTTTTGGGCCATGTGGTTGAGGCGACAGGTATTGTTTTTTTTTTACTTTTGAAGATTTTTTTAAACATAAAAAGAGGGACATTTGCCATTCATTTGGAGTATAAAAGTCTATAATGAATACCAACAGATATTTTTGCAGATATTCTTTCTGGGGGCCCAGTGGACCCTGAAAGATCTTCTACGTACGGCAGCATGAAAGTCCTGAACAGGGTTAAATTTCAAACAAATGAATACGTGTTTACCACCTGAATAAATGTCATCACTCACTGTCATAACGTGTATTTCATTTCATGCTACTCTGTTAAGAAGCTCAAACAATAAAATCTGGTCTATCTATCTACGACCACACAACTAGAGCATGAGCAGGTAAAAAGTTCACACACTAGATACCAGCGGTAGCAGAGATTGTACCCTGGATGTAGTTTCTCTGAGGCAATAAAATACATCAATAAAATGCACTTCAATGATCTTCAACATTGCCTCATCACTTTTGCAGCCCCCCTTCAGTCTGACACACCTCCCCCATGCTGTTCCTATAAATAAAGCTGTTTTCTAGTTAAACCCAAGTGCTACCTTTCCAATTTTCAGCTTCTGCCACTCATTGATTAGGTTGCGTCCATCTTTTCTTTCCCCCCTGGAGAAGTAGTCTCTGGGGTATTCTGGGTCTTTGGTGCCCTGAGGGGTCATGTACTTTCTCCCACCGCCGATGATCACCTGGATGCACACACACACACACACACACACACACACACACATTTAAACACATTCAAGTCATTCTAAACAAAACAAACGTGTTAAAAAGTTTGAGATGTCTTTACGTCGATGTCGGTGTTTCCGATGAGCTGGGAGGCGATGTCGGTGCAGCCGTCCACCTTGGCGGCGGCAGGCAGGTCAGCATCGCTGTACCACGACCTGCTGGCGCTGTGGGCGTAGGTGGCTGCCGGGGTGGCGTGTTGTACCCGCGTGGTTGTTACGATGCCGACAGACTTTCCTGCAGCACAAACACAGGAGTTGTCACGCTCAGAACGACGGACAGGCACGCTGGCAGGCTCGTGCGCCGTATGAGCAAGTTTCAGGACGAAAGTTTTGAAAGACAAAAACTCCGAGCAGCTGGCTGGGTGACAGTTGAGTCATTAATCAACAACTTTATCAGCCCCCTGTAGACTGTGTATGTTGTGTTGATGTATAGTGCGGTAAGTATACTTGGTGTCCTTTTACCCACCAGGATGCCCAACACGTCTTTATAAGTTCATCTTATAGTCAAACACAAACTAAACTCTTTAAACAATGACATTACAATCTAAAATCATCACATATAGGCCTGAATTGGCTTAAATTTAGAGGCACTTATTCCCCATACAGTACAGATGAGCGACAAATTAAAGGAAAATCAGCACGTGTCTGGCGTGAGTTCACCAAATGCCACCGATTCTCTGGACTCCACTGGAGGGATGATCACCATTCTTCCAAATGACATTTTCTCGTTTGATGTTGTGATGATGATGGGGGAAAGTGCTGTCTAGCACATAAATGTTTAATTGGATTGGGATCTGGAGACGGTGACGGTCACAGCGTATGATTCACATCATGTTCCCCCAGTGCCCTGCTGATGATGCCGTTCTGGAGGAGACCACTCCCATCAGGACAGAAGTGCTGCATCAAAACGGATCACTTACAACGACTTTCTATTGATCTGCAGTGGCCCTCCGCTCTAAGGGAACAAATAGACCCAAACCATGCCGGGAGACCACCTGGGACAGCACGGTAGAGCCACCAGATCCCCTCACTATGGGGGTCGAGGGTCAGGGTTTTTCTTTAATCTTTCGCCTGCCTGTTGTTCTGTACATGTATGAACACTTTGATTAAAGTTGGGTTCATATGGTGCTGAAAGACATTGAACCCTTTATGTCACAGTCTCTGTGGTAAGTTGTAATCATGGAGAGGTTCAGCCATGCGTATTAGACCCAGAAACCAATTCTGAAGAAGAGCAATGATACAGAAAGTCCCGTCCTGTACGGTAACTGCTTCGGTTTGTTCTGAACGAAGTCCTGGTTCTGTGTGATCTGTGTGCGCTGCAGCTGGAAATGCTCAGTCACCGTGTTGTCTGCTCATGATGTGTCATCTGGTGCATAAAAACACCATATGGACATGATAACAAGGTAAAAACTTGATTTTTACCAGAGGTGGTCTTTAATTTTTCATGATGATTCATGAAACCTGGCTGCTGACAACAGTCAGCGTTCTGCAGGCTGAGAGCTAAAACCATTAAACCTCCTGAATGTGGATTCACTGCTGAACACTTCATGTGGTTTTGGTAAAGATCACTGACCACATTAACATCTCATACATGAGAAGATAGCTGTTCTTTATCTGGCTCTTCGTTTAAGCAGAAAACAAACCAAAATACCAAAACCAAAAGCAGTCAATAACAGCCCTCGTGTGGTAGAAACGAAGGTTGAAGACTCTAAACCTGGATTCAGTCCACTCCTGCACATTACTCATTGTTTTCAGCCTACTTGCTCCAACAACGTGATGCTGCTGAAGGCTGTAGATGTGAAGCCTGTTACACTGGCTGTGGTTCAGGCCTGATGCCAGCTGAACAAAATGCTGAAGACTTTATTGTACAGACGCCCTGTTTGCAGCAGCGGTTGAGCTGCTGACACTCCTTCAATCAGAGCCCCGGCCATCTCAGCCGTGACTAAATCGGTCCTCTTCAGTGGCTGTTGCAGCAGAGTTGTTACGTATTCATCTGACAGACATGCGTTCATAGAGCATGAGTCCAGGCCGAGCAGCAGACTGAGGACGCCCTCGCCGTGGTGGCTGTGAAAGCACACACCGAGTCAGGCTGATGGCTTCATGAAGTGGTGGTGTGAGAACAGCCAGTCGTCTGCGTAGATCAGAGCTGTCACTCCTGTCTCTGAGGGTTCAGCGCACTTTGAACACACTCGAAAGAAATGTGTGGAAACTCAATACTCAAGATCTTTAGAGAGTGTTTTCCTTTGTGGCGATCCCAACACCCACATTGCAAAACCCTCTGCTGCGCGCTGGGTGTCAAAGATGGATTGAATCAGTCGATTAACTGACAGAAGCCTAATCTAGAACAATTTGGAGGATTTTTACGAGCAAAGGTGGACGAATTATCGCTTTTACGCTTTCTAATGTCAATGTTGGGAAATTATTTTAGCCCCCTGTAGCATTTTACACAAAACGAGACACTGGAACACATCTGGATGGGTTCCTGGAACTTGTGGTGGGTCATTTTTACAATTTGCTGACATTTTACAGACTGAAAATTTTAATAATAAAGACAATATAGGTAGAGATCAAATTTAATTGGATCGTAATTGTAATTTTCTAGTTGTTCAACATAGAAGTGATATATTTCTAAAAGTTCAACAGTTATTAAAAACAGGAGAAAACAGCAACAACCAGACGCTCTAGATAAACGTAAGTACAGCAGAAACTACTCCAGGACGATAGGAGCTGTTTCTATGATGCGTCTTTATGACATTACATCGAGTCTCTTTCAGGTCAAAGATCAAAAACAACCTTGTTGTATGTAAAACAGACACACGGACGTCCTGCTGTCCCGCGGTCGAGGCCTTGACACGCCGCATGCATGATGAGATATTTATGGGCGCTGATAACGTTGGGACGTGATAAGAGTCAAGGTGGTTCCCTGAGCAGCACATCATCCTCAAGTACAACATGAGGCTGAAGCTGCTGCTCTCTGTGACGGGACAGCAAAGCGCTGAGCTGCAAAACCGGGTTTTAACGAGGCTTCATAAGGCCGGAGGGATTTTCTTTTTGACAGGAGCCAGAACTGAAATGTGACCCGCCGGGCTGAGTCGGGCGTCTGCGCCTCCTGGACCAGCAGTCAAAACAAAGCCGCTCGTCGCCTCAATCACAGCATCGTTTCACGACTTCCTGCGTTCTGATCCTCCGGGTGTCGTCTGCACAGCTATGAGCTCTGCTTGCTCATGAGTCTATTTACATTCACAGCAAATTACCATTATCATTATCATTAGTGTAACATCTGCTCTATTAGTTCCTCCATTTCTCATGCATCACATTATCATGTAAATATTATGAGAACAGGATTCGTGTTGTTATCTTGTGTATATGAAGCCCACTGATGGCATTAAAGTAAAGGCTGGTTCCACTCATGCAGTGCTGTGTCATTACACTGAGGAGCATTTCAAATGAAACAGGGAGCAGCACGAGAACTTAAATAACATTTTAAGTCTGGCCAGATCTTGTTTTCAACTCTACACACTGAGAAACAAAGGCAATAAATAGTGATGCCAGGTGTTTTGCCCCTGATCTGATCTGAGTCATATCATATTTAGAACCTGCTGACACCACACAAACAGCTAATGCACGCTTCAGTATCGTAGATTGCTCGTAGCTTCTGGTTGCGCCACCAGATGGAGTCGCTCACTCTTAAATACTGTAGGGACCAGAGGAGACGAGCAGAGGGGACGAGCAGAGGGGATTGTGGGGGTTTAGCTCGTAAAAGGAAACCATGACTTTTGTGACGCTTAATGACCTGCGGCGAGCACACGTGTGGTCAGTCAAGACAGGATCGACTAGAATAACGTTCCTACATCCTATCACAGGGCTACACTTAGAGACAGACAACCAAGCACACTCACATTCACACCTACGGACAATTTACAATCACCAATTAACCTCAACATGTTTCTGGACTGTGGGAGGAAGCTGGAGAACCCGGAGAGAACCCACGCTGCACGGGGAGAACATGGAGACTCCACGCAGAAAGTGAACCGGCGACCTTCTAGCTGTGAGGCGGCGATGCTAACACAGAGACACCGTGCAGCCCCTTGATTGATAATGCTGCATTTGTTAACTAAGGATCAAACTCTCACAGGTAAAACACTCTCTCTCTCTTTGCTTTCTCATTTTACTCTCTTAGAACAACAACAAAACAAACACCCACATGAAACATGACGTAATGAAATCTGCTACTTTCTTATTGTACATTTTCCTGTGAGCGGTGATCTTACCAGCATCTTTGGCCCACTTCAGGATCGACGTGACCTCGTTGCCCTTCTGACTTTTGCAGATCCCGTTGCGCGCCGCTGCGTTCACTCCAACAATGTTCAGGTTGGTTTTCACGCCGCACAGATACGCTGTGGCCGTGGCTGCACTGTCTGGGATCTGGAAGTCCACGCTGTATGTCTGCACAACACACACGCACACACACACACACACACACACACACACACACACACACACACACACATACACACAGACAAATTTGTCCTTAAACTTTGTGACTGGTGTGAACACCGGGTCTTGCAGCAGGAAATAATGGCAGAAAAGTAAAGCAGAATGCAATAAAATGAGCTAATGGGGGGTTCAGCAGAACATAAACAGAACTAAAACCCAACAAATCATATCTGCTTATATTTTTTACAAGCTGTTTTTTTCTCTAGACAGTATTTTAAACAATTAGCACTCCTTTGCTATGACTTAATTTGTTCTTTTTACTATACTGGCTAATGTGTGGCTGACTCTGTGTGTTTTATATAATCTCTTACTGAAGAACTACAAAAAAATAAAACGGATTGCTGCTTTGCATTAATAACAGCATCTGCACATGATGCAGAATAATTGGCAGAGAGCTACAGATCTGTATATAAATGACGGATTTATCCAGTGTGACGCCTGGTTTGTGAACAACTGTTTTGAAACATTTGGAGTTTGGTTGTCACCATCTGGTTTTTGTTTTTTAGGTGTAACTCCAGCATGAGGCTCATTAACAAATGGTCATGACTTGTTAATCACAAGGTGTAATTCCCTGCTATCTTCTGTTTTACTCTAAATGGGAGAATAATTTGCAAAATGGATATCATGCTGCATTGAAGAAGACTTGAAACCAGCGGTTAAGACCATAAACTGCTCAGGATAATGTTCACTGCAGGGCCGACTGAGCGCTCTGCAGTCGGAGCTGAACGCAATAAACACCTTTCATTACCCACATTCAAATCGTTTTTTTTCTTTCTCTCAATACTTTGTATGTTTAACTTTTTAATGAAAGACTTAATCCCGTCTTCAGTGAAGTTTTGTTTGTGCACTCACACATCTTTGCCCAAATTGAGGACGAGCTGTTGCCATGAAGTCTGCATATGGAAAATGTGACACGACGCGTATAAAGATGCACCTCTGCAGCAGATGCATGGCCACAGGGCTGAACACATTCATATTCAGGAGTGAACGTCTAGATTGAAGGCATCACATGTAGAACAACTGACATTACCTGATCATGTGACACAGGTGTGTGGGTGAGTGTGACAGTCATGTTGTACAATAGGCTGCTTTTACAGAGTACAGTCATGAATGGATG